TGAGGGGAAAATGTTTGAAAATTTAAACTTATTAAAATGGAATCTAAAAAAAATGTGAGGGCATTTGTAGTCTGCGGCTTAGGTGAATATACCCCTTTGCGCTGATTCTACGTTTGATTTGGGGTGCAATTAAAAAACGTTCAAGAAGTGAGATGGAGGTATTTTTTTTGTAAATTGTTAAACATTACTCACCAATTTAGCATTAAAATTTAGATAAATGAAAAGAAACTTTTGAATTTGAAAAATTATTTTCATAAATTTTTTTAATTATATAAAAAAACAAGAGCACATTAGTATCGCGCAGAACTTTGAAGCGCATTTTTTCAAGTGTCTTAGAATCCTGTGATAGCAAAAAATATTTAAAAAAATCAAAGTAATTTAACGTCAGTATTAAATTATCTTTTATTTGAACTGGAAAAGTTGGACAAAAAAATATTATTTAAATTAAATGTTTTTTTTGTATCTTGAGATGAGTTCTTCTTTCAAACTTCGAAAAAATTTAGAATTTTCCCACTTCTTTGTCATTTTTTTTAGTTCATGTAGAAAATGCCCTAACAAAAATTAAAAATCGCATTGCACGACCTCCTTTACTACCACCATTTTATTAGCTCAGACTGTAGCCACTTCCGAAAATTCATTACAACTTTATAAACTCCAAGAGTTTTTGATACCACCGCAATAATTTTCTTTCTTTAAACGTAATGGCTGAAAACCTTTTTTTTTTTGGGTTCTAAAGGATACTGTTGTCTTACAATTGTTGCATAAATATTTTATTAGAAATGAATAGTTCCGAGTTTTCTTTAAATTTTGTAAATTTTTTCAATTCAGTTTGTTCAAGTTTTTAATTTAAAATACTAAATTTAGTTTCTGTTTTTAAATATTTTTCAAAATCCAAAATTTTAATATTTTTTTAAATAAATTTTCTATAATCATATACTATATTCTTCTATCTATTTAATATAATATTTAATTTAATCAAATCTACGTTACATATTTGATATAAACAAGTATATCTTATATTCACATACATACTATTTTCGGAAGAAAATTCAGGTTTCACTAATTGATTCTTACAAAACAGTGAAGTGTAATTAGACGGGTTCGGTAACCGCCTCGGCTTAACTGTATAAAATTGATTGCCTTGTTGTTATGAAGCTTAATTATGATATAAATTTTTAATATTTTTTATAATCTTTTTTTTTTTTTTGAAACTCAAATAAAACCATTAACAATACTTTTATATTTGTTAGATACGCCAATGTACACATATATGTATAGCCTGTGTATATAAAATTGCCTGCTGGCTTCTGAAGAGAACAGCATAATGCCAGCTGTTTCCTCATAAATTAAAACCAATTCAAAAAAAAAAACGTTATTTTAGCGAAATATTAATGCTAGGAACAGCTGGTCACCGCTGAATACTGCGAGCGGCTCGGATTAGTCATATGAGAATTAAGAGAACCAAAAGACTTAAGGCGCAAACTCAATTTTTTCATGTCGCTGCAAATAATTTTTTTTGTTTTTAATGAAGGTGATTATATAATTTTTATAAGTTAGTTCCAGAGGAACGGATACAACATAATTTAAAATATTTGTTGTCATTTTTCCTCTTGATGGATTTCGAGCAATCAGAATTAAAACCATATGGACGATAAACTGTCAATTTTAACACAAGTTTGAAATAAAAAAATTTTGCTAATACTTATTTTTATTGTTACTTTTCATTGCTTTAATTTTTTTATTTCATCATTTTGTGAGTTTCAAAACTAACCTAATTTTCTGTACCCAAATATGTAGTGGAATATTTTTTTGAGTCGGGAGAACAAAAAGTAAATTTTTAAGATGAGCAATCAAGATAAATTTTATCGCAGACGTGACATCAGGAGAATGTAAAGAGAAATATAATAAAATAAATTAAAAATTATTTTAGAAAAATCTAAAAAAAAATCAGAATAAAAATTATGCCTTAGAAGGTGCGCTCAGCAATTTTTATTGAAGAAAACATACATAACTACAGTCAGAATATGCTAACATACCAACATATATGCAATTATGAATGAGATCATACGATGCGATAAACAACATACATATATGTATGTGAAATTGTACGGCCGTTAGTACTTTACAGTCATACATACAAAGACACTCGTGATGGATAGTAGTAAGCGAAAACCAGCGTTATACAAAGACTGAAAGAGAGTATAAGGAGAAAATAAAACTAAAAACAAAATGAACGGAAATTTCACTTTTGAATGATTTCATGGAATTCTATAGTTTCAACTTCACTCCAAATTTTGTTATCTTTGCCGCCGCCTCAGCCGGTGGGTAATTACCTTTCATTATTATAGGTTGCAAGCTAAAAATGATGTGCTCAAAGGAGCGAAAATGAAAGTTTCTTAAAGTTTGTTGAAAAAAGTTGAAAAATTGTTGTATACAAAATTTTTCCTTTTTACTTTAAATTCACTTACTATTTTTATTTCATTATTTTCATAATTTAGATACTTTTTTTTGGGGAAAATGTGCTGGAGGCAAAGCGTAAATGAACTTGAAAATAATAAATGATACTAAGATATAAATGCTAGTGAGCTTGAAACTCATAAAGTTCTATTGGGAAAATATTAGGGAAAGCTAGCCCATACTAAAATCTAATTAACTTGTAAGCAATTAAGTTTCTAATGATCCAACGGAAGGGAACGATAAAAATTTTGGTAAACGGCAAAAATATTAAAAAGGAGGAAGAACAGAAAGACTATAATTTATTAATTTCTGTATTAATTATCCTCTTCTTTTTATATAAAATTATAAAAGAAATTTATAAAAGAATTATGATGAAAAAAATAAAATATTAACCAAACTATGTAAAATAAATACATTAAAATACATTAAAATAAATTAAAATTAATTAAATTAAGGTAAAATAAAATTAACTAAACAAAATAACTTTAAAAAATACCGAATAAACTTAAACGTCTGTTTAGAAAAAATATCACATAGAGAAATTAAATGATGTAATAAAACTAAAATAAAATCAAATATATGCAAATAAAACTTTTATGTAATTAATATAAAAAAAATTAAAAAGGAAATGTATTAAATAAAATAACAAAAACTAAAATAAATAATAAAATAAAATAAAAAAAATCAAATCAAATCAAATCAAATAAAATAAAATAAAATAAAATAAAATAAAATAAAATAAAATAAAATAAAATAAANGTCTTATTCAATTCTAGGCAAAAAAAAAAAAAAAAATTAAATAAAATAAGGTAAGTAAAGTAAAATAAAATGATGTGAAATATAAATCAGTTAAAATAAAAACAAAAATATTAAATAACAATAATATGAAAATAATTTTTATAAATAAATTCAGAGCAACTATTTACGCAGGTGCTTGCAAAATACGTTTGTTTCATCTTGAAAATTTAGTAGGTGAGACCATAGAGAAGTGGCTTAATTTAATGCCTAATAAAGACTTGTTCATACATTTAATATGTGAAGAGGCGCCAAGACACACTTTAGATATACAAAAATATTTAAATGAAATAACAAATTAAAAAAAAAATAAAGAAAAAACTCGTCTCATTGCTCATCTTCGCTTAGCATTTGTTCATAAGCAGTTAAGTCAACAGCAGCTTGGGAACCGCACATCAGCTTTGTTATGGAGGAGATGAAAACAAGTTTGTAAATATTAATTCAACACCTAACATGAGTGCTTAGGACAAAAGCAATAACCAATTTGCGTTTATTTCAATTTTTCAATTTAAATAATTTTTTATTTTTACAAAAACAAATGGTGCTTAAATAATGTTGAAGGCCAGCGTTAATCATCATTAATATTTGCATTAAAGCAAAAAGGAAATGAAAAAACATATTTCTTCTTAAAGCTGATTTTTTAATAAGCTTTGAACAAAGTACTATAAAGGCAAATCAAGTGATGTATGCAAAATACAAATATGACGTGATTTTGCCAAATACTTTTGTATGTATTTTGAGTTATCTTTTTCAGCTTATTTGACTGCATAAGTTACTTCGGACGTTTTATATGCGCCACTAATTTTTGTGACATTGTTGTTTAATGTTTTTATTTTTGCTTGCATAATTAAATTTAATTAAACTTTTTTAAGATTATAAAGCGTTAATTAGTGTTGATGAAAATATATATTTCAACTCTCCGATTTCGTGCCGAAATTAGTTAATATATGATATTATTTTGGCTAATTATCTTGTGTTTTTAAGTAATCTAACAAATTAAGTGGTTATTGCAAAATTAATTTTCACGGTCTTTTGTTTATAGTCATGGCACAATATGACTAAATGTGCATTTAATTTAATTGCATAATTTTTTTCTTATTAAATTTTTATTAAATGCATATATATGTTTTTTATTAAATTGTTTTTTATAAAATAATTAAAATAAAATATTTAAAATTCATATTCTATTTTCATTTCATATTTTTGGTTATTAGAATGTGATTTTTGTAGGGACAGAGTAGTTAAAGGTGTGTGACTTTGCTGGAATATATGTACTTGGCTCCTAATTGTAGGCAACATTTTATGCTCAACACATTAACTGTGATTTTGGCAAGGCGATTTAAAAATAAAAAATGTTCTTTTAGAATAAAAGTAAGAAAAAATCTTAATTAAATTGAGATGAAATCTAGCATTCAAAAGTTTGGCCAACGAGAAGTTAATGTGAAAAAGATATAAAAACATGAGATCGAGTTATATAACTGAATAAAATTTATCGTTGCTTATATAAGGGAAGCCTGCAGTCAGAAAATGATATTGTGGGTGCAATCTTAAGAATTCTAATTTACATATTCTCCACTTGAAAACAGGAAATGTTTAAAACCATAAAAGCTCAGGTTGCATATATAATTTTAAAATGCTAATATGTGTTTGGTTTTAAATAATAAGCTTTAAAATATCATACGTTAGCTATCAGATGTGCATACATATATGTAGAGATAGATTTTTTTCTTATTATTATTTCCACTTACCATATAAATTATTAAAAGTTTTTTCACTGTCATATGCTTAATCCTTATAATCCAAATTGAATGTTTTGTTGTGAAGTATTTGTTGTTGTATTTTTCAAGTTTTTTTTTCTAGTTTTCTGAGACACTTGAACACTTATGTAAACACAGATTTATTCATTTTTATTTTCTATGTTTTTATACACACACATAGGATGAAAGAGAAGATGATGATTTCTTTTTGAGGAAATTTGGTTTTGTAATTATTTATTTATTTTCTATTGTACACATTCTTATATTTTAGCCATAGAAAGCCAACTGAAAAAGAAAAAAAGAATCAAAACGCTTTTGTAAGTGTGATGGCACAAAATAAAATGACAAAAATAAATATTTAAATATTAAACAAATAAAAACTATTTTATAGACAGACACACAACACACAACACACACACACACTCTCAGTGTGTAGTGCTTAAAACATTTTTATGAAAAAAATCTACAACACAAACACGATAAATTTCTTCTTTTTTTAACTCTTATTTATTTCATTCTTTCCCCAATCACTGATATATAATTTTTCTTTTGAGTTACATTTCCCTTAACATATATTTAATGTTCGCATAGCACTTTTACATGTAAATGTATATATATGTATGTATACATAAATAGAAATGTTATTTCTCTTGCATAATACACTTGTCACGCCGCAGGTATTATTTATTTTTTATTTTATCTTTACTCCACTATTCATCATACTTCTTCTGTCTGAGCGCCTTTATACAGGTAAGAAGGTCTATGAAGTAAGTGTTTGCGGTTCTTTGTGTGATAAAAGGTGCATGAGAATGCGGCGTGTTACAACCAAAAAGTGATTCTTAATAGCACTCGATAATGTGATTTGTTGTTATTTAGTTTTCTTAATTAACATAAATATTTTTGGCTTTATCATCAGCAGTGTGCTTGTGCTGTGGGTTTATATATGTGAAACATTGGTTCCAATTTTAATTGTATTGGTGGTGACAAACTATTTTTGTAGTCTACGTGTGTATATTTCTTTTACATTTTTGTGATTCTTTTGACCTTTGTGAAGATTTTTATCGCCACTCAGCTATTTTCTTTTTCAGTGTTTTTAGTCATTAAAATTATTTTGAGCGCTGCGCTTGTACTCCTAGCATTTGTGCAATAGTCGCTCCTCTAATAACTTCATTAGCGAATGTCGATTTTGTGGCGTCAAATTATTATTATATATTTTTATAAATTATGATTTATGAAATATGTTAGACGCAAACGCAGGGGGGTAAAGGGCTCTGAGTTCCAACCAGCTCCGAAATTCTTATGGAAAGTTTTTTTAAATGAAACTTTTCTTACACCTACCATATAAAGTATTCAATGACCAATTTGGTTATATGTTTTGTTGCGTAGTAATTTGAGCTCATCACACTACAAATACTATTCTTTTTTTTTTAATGAAATTTAATTATTACTGAATCTGCTTTAATTAGGAATTTCTTGATTAATTTCACTAAGCGTTGGCTGTCCCTTTCAACTGCAGGCTTAACCAGTAGGATACCAAAGGCTGTATGTATATATTTACCTTACAAGCGCACCACTGCTATTACCTTTAAAATTTTGGATTCAATCTTATGTATTTGCTCAAAATTTGTAGCACAAGTCATACATCCAAATTGGCTGTGTAACTACATTGTAAATGAGAACTTTGTAATCTAGTTTTTGCCCAGACTCCATAAGTAAATACCAATTTAGGTGAGATTACTCTAACTTCATATGTAACACTTTGGCATCTTTACGTCTTTTCCAGGTTAGTCTATTATTTGTGACTTATTTGTGGGCGAAATGTAATCGCCAGTCATTCTGCGATGATAAGTAAGTGACCCCAATCCTTTTCGATTCTTTTCTGGAACAATTATTAAAGCATAACATAGATATTATTTATTATTTCAGTTTAGTGGGATGTCTGTGATCCTCAGTGATAAATTCTGATTATTTTACGGTATACCATCTGTACGAAATTTGTTTAACCGTATGTAAAACTTTGCCGAAGCAGCAATAATTTTTGAACCCGACTGCCTAATTTCACTAGCGATTAGGCTGACGGAAGGGTTATTAGTATGAAAGAAAACGCTTACGTGTGATCTTCATCGTGGCCAACAGCATGAAAAACATATATAAAAAAGGAATTCACCGGCTTTTTTAATTCATCGATTCATAATTCGATCGTTCTTAAGTGAATTTTTTTTAGGCAATTTTACAGTTTACCTTTTTACCAGTCTTGCAATCTTCATAGTATTCCTGCTACAACTTCATTCAAATCAACCGTTTCCTTTGTATTGTTGCCTAAAAAATTGACATGTTTTATAAAAAAAATTCTATTAAATTTTTGAAAAGTTTTGATTTTACGCTTTCTTAGTTCATATTCACCATTTAATAAATTTAATCAATTGTTTTGAAAAAAAAACTTTCCAAATTTTTTTTTAATTTAATGATATAGGCTGTGTTGACAATTCTTACTTCTTTAGAATATTTTCTTTCCGATAATTAGCTTAAGTAAAGTGAAGAAATAGCGAGACCAATGAAAAAAGTAAAGCAAGAAAATACCCTTCAAATTTATATAAATTATTACCGTCCTCCGAATGAGTTAAAATAACCCAGAAGTATGAAATTTTAGGTAAGTACAAAACCAAAGTCCTCCATTCCCTTTAATAAAAAATAAATAAAAAAAATCAAATGAATTATATAATGAAACAATACTAAGAAGGTATTCTGCGGGGTAATGATTAAATGGAACAGATGTAGCGAATATTAGTCCCGTTGATATCGAAATTATGTTGTGAGGAACAAAGAAATTGGTAAAAACACTTAGACAGAGGGCAGCAGACCATAAACAGTACCCCAACGCCTAGAACAAGATATTCTTCTTTTAGAATTTCGACAGAGTTGGACAAGAGAACAACGGGTTTGTCTGAGTTTCATGATCTAATAGAGACCATACACGATTTAGGCGTAGAACGCGAAGCGACATGCCGACAAGCTAGGGAAAATAAAGCGTCAATACAGAAGCAGGACAAGTGAGATTTTGATGCAAAGAGGAGACTTTTGACCTAGTTGCCAGCGTAGCCAATGTGATAGTTTCAGGTTGAGGACAAAATATCTTGGCCCTTATAAGATCCCGGAAATATTAAGCCATCACCGCCATGAAGTTGAAAAGCTCAGTGAAGTTGAGGCACTCCGGCATACCATCTTCGTCGCTAAATATATGAAAAAATAGAACATATCGTTCGGGTTGAATGATTAGTCAGGAAGGCCGAATGTAGGACCGCCACATGGCAAACCTAGTCACTTACCAAAGAAAATGACGAAACGAAAGGGGACGTAAAACCAATTTCTGATTAAAATAGATCATTTTGGACATGTAAACAGGGAGAACGTGTATTTTATTAAAAAGAAAAATTTAATAATAATAAACGTTAAATGAATTCACTTAATAATGACTTAATTTTATTTAATTTAGAGAAATTGAGGCCTGGGTATCAAAGAGTTAGGTTAAGCTTAATACTTAATAATAAATTTATAAATTAATTCTTCAGCTGCGCAGCAAAACAAAAAGTTTAGTTTTAATTAGCAAAATATTTTTGTTTTTCAATTATATTAATACTTTTGATTCATAAATTTAAAAGTGTAAAACAAGTTTGGGAGAACAAATCATTTTCGCTTAATATTCTTAAAAAAGGTCAAAACAATTGGGCTCCCGCTCGACATTTGACGAGAGAAGAGCACTGGGCTTGTGTGCGAGTACTCGCTGCCCAACTGCTGTGGTTACTCGGAGAATATCACTTTTCGATGTTTTTAATTTTTTTTATAAAAATAATTTTTTTCATATTTAGGTAAAAAATCATAAAAAAAAAAATAAAAATTGAAAATAAATAAAATAAACATAAACAAATTTTTATTCAGAGAAAACATAGGTGTTAGCGCTAGAAACAAATTATTTTTTTGGTGAGATCAATAAATAATTACAATAAATATAAATAATTATAATAATTTATAGCTCCCATTAGCTCTTTGACATATGTACATACGTATGTATGCTGGTATGGAGCCGTCAACTACGAAATGGAAATGAGGTGTGGGTTTGACGTTCGAAAAGTGAAATTTAGCAAACAAAAAAGAGGATGATAAGTACTGAATAAATTCAATTACTGCAACAAAGAAAAAAGTACATAAAAAATATTGTCTATGAAGATGAGCTGTGCTGTGAAGGAAAATGGGTTTGGCTAACTAAAAGCTTTACACAGCAGCGTATTCGTATAGCGGCACTTAAAGAGTAGTACCGTCAAATACTTGCTGTTGTCACGTTGCAAAGTAACGTGTATAAAAGTAAAAATGGCAACATCTTTGCGTCCGCAAATTTCACTTTTCTTGAAAGCAGCGAAAACCACATTTTTTTATTTTTATTTTCAATAATAGCATTTTTAATATTTTTTATTTTTTATTTTACATTAAATTAATTGAAATTTTTGTGTTAATTTTATTTTATGGAAAATCAGTATTTGCTAGCTGCAAGCCATTTGAATTCCATAAATGTTGACAGACACCTACGCGCTGGCAATCACTTGAAAATTGCTATTAAAATTTTAGAAAAAAGTAAAAAAACTGCACTCGACAGAATTGAAATTCCCCGAACTGCAGCGCTGCCTGTGATGCGATGGAAAACCACGAAAATGTAAGAAAAAAGAAACGAGCTGTACAAATTCGCAAAGCATTAAATGCAGTTAAGTAAAAGTTGTTTTGCAACTTCTGCAACAAGTCGTTAATAGCCAAGCATGTTGCTGACAAACAAATTGGGGGAGGCGAGTAGCAAGTAGCGAGAGAACACAGTAAAGCATTGATTGTGTAGATTTCAACCGTATTTATTTGTTATTTGTGAGCATGTATGTGTGGCACTGCGTCGACCTGTGGCAACAAATTGCAGTCACAGCTGTTTGCTCACCACGCTTTCTGTTGTTGTTTGTTGCCCGCGGCTGGCTGACAGACTTGTGGGTCGCTGGCTGGTTGTCTGGTTGGTGGCTGCTGACTGCTGACTGCCGGCTGGTTAACGGCACAAAATCAGCCGCCGCAGCCACCACCATTGACGTTGCTGCAGGAAATGAGGTCAGCAGTTATGCCGCCAAATGGCAAAATCGAAGATAGTAAACAGTTGCAGCAGCCGCCGGCGTAGAAGGAAACTGAAGTGTAAGTATGAAACAAAAACAATGCAAATTGCAGATAACACAAAGTGCATGCCACGAAGAAAAAGGCATCTCCAAAGAAAGCTGCTTGCAATCTGCCAACTTGCAAAGAAGGCGAAGAAGAATAAGAAAAAGGTGAAGAAAAAGCAGCCAATTTGTTCAATTAATTTCTTTGCTTTATTTTTTAAATTTGCTTTTGGCTCCTTTTTACACACTCTCTGCCTGGCGGTACATTTATTTTATAACCACATTTGTAAATACATGCGTATTTACCGTTAGAAAGCGCGTAGACACAGTTTTAATAAATAAAAAAATAAATATGTACACGGTGATGCGTGCCACAACAGAGGAGGCGAAACGACAACGACAACCGTTGGCCATGTCCCATGACAGTGCACTCCATGGCTAGGCATGTATAAAATGTCATTAGCGTGTGTAGTGAGTTGGCCGTTGGTACGGTCGCGCAAATTGTCGGACGCATGCGCGCTGCCGATGCGTAGACGTGTGGCAGATTTTATGATTTTTCTTTTATTTCTGTTATTTTTATTTTTTTTTTACAACAATTTCTCTTTGTTTTTTTTTTTTTGTTCTTCTCCTGCCTTTGCTGGCTTTGTTTACTATTTATGGTTGCGGCACTGATTTTAAGCGATTTTATTGTTTTATTCTTGATTGCTTTTCTTGTTAATACATACACGTGTATATACATATGTATGTGTTGACTTTGGCTAGTGGCGTTTTTTCCGCTTGGGATGTTTTGCTGTATGCGTTTGTTAGTATTTGGGTGAAAGGTTTTTGTACATATTTTAACAGTGCTTATTTATTGGACTCTTGAAAATAAAGTGGGTCACCAACTCCGGGTGAACACAAACATCCGATGGGCGTATTATTGAAAAGGTTCGCAAATATTTGTACTTAATCATAATATTCAATTGGCTGCCTGGAATAATCACAATCGAGATTTAAAAATAAATTAGAAATTATTGATTTGGATTACAATAAAATGAGGAAATGATTTTTATCATATTTTTCTAATTTTTCTATTTTTCCGTTTTACAGTCCGATTTCGACTTTTCAAATGTCACTTTTTCTAAGTCAACCATTTTTTTTTTGAATTTTGCAACAAAATAGTTTAATCTTAGTTTCAATCAGAGCAACAATAATCTTTTTGATTTGTCTTTTTCAAATATTCTCAAACAACCAGAGCGCCGGCAAGATGATGTTACAAAAAAAAAAAATTAAAAAGAGACAAAAATATATTTTTTATACACTCTTAGATATCATCAATAAAATATGACTCCCATTTTTCTCAAATGAAATGTTTCCAAAAAAGCAACCTTAAGCCACAAAACTGGTATGAGTATACAATTTTATCTTTTAAAAAAATTATTAAGTGATAATTGACGAGTCAAAGATTTGTCATCGCTCCAAATTTATTAAAACATTGTGTGTTTATGGCAGCACTGCTCGTGATTTTAAGCAACATTTAAGTATAATATTTTTCAACGAAACTCTTGCTCAAGCACATACACAGTTCACTGAAGAACTAATATTTTTTAAACTTTTTCGTTTCAAACTAGTTTTAAAAAAATTAAATTATATGACACTGAACACATACACAACTCACAAATCCATCATTTGGTTCGGTTTAAAAATATACTTGGGTAAATTTTTTAAAAATCGTTGATAGCTATCACTATTAGCACATTTTTTACATATTTATGTAGCATAAAAGCTTGCAGCAGTACTGTATTTTTCGTACCACTGTCGTAATTATAAATAATATTCTTTTCATTTTTATGCAGTTTTTTCCATTAATATTCAAATTTTTGTTAGAAAAAATAATAATTATAAAATCACAGAACATATATGCTTCAACAAAATCTTGCAAGGCGCACACTTTCCTCTTAATTTTTTTTTTCATTTAATTTTTGTTTTAAATACAAATAAAAAATTAGTGTTTAGTTTAATTTAAATTTAATGAATTTTTTAAAATTTTGATATTACAAAAGCAGCATTTGTTTGACGTGATGTTTTCACTACTTTTAATATATGTGTATATGTATACTTATATGTATATTATACCATAATAATATTTTAGAGCATTACACTTTTCGCCGATCCGGCTTTTAAGGCACTTTTTTTTTATTATATTCTTTTAAATTTTTGAAATAAAAACTTTTTACTACTTATTTTTACGAAGACATAAGTTTTGACAACATTTCTGAAATTATTGAGAGATTTTAATAAAAAAAAATATGGTTAATCAAACACAAGTCTTTTATAGACTTGATATTTATTTTGAAAAATGTATATATTGTTATTTATTTTATGTAGCATTTTGAAGAACGTTTAATTATTTTATTTTTTTTATTTATTTTATTTTATTTGTTTCACCATTTATATGCATGTAACTCAAATGATCTCATTGGTTTATGCACTCCCTTTAACTTCCAACAACTGTTATTCGTTTTGAAATCGCTGAGTGGTTTGCAGTTATTTTTTATATACATTTTATACATCAAAATTTCTGTAAAGATTTTTTAAAACCACATTTTTTGTTTTGTTTATTTTATAAAAATTTTTTACGAACATTTTGGTGTTTATATAATAATAGTTTATAATTAAAATGTTATCATTTAAATTTTTTTATATATAACATTAATAAAATACTTTCTGCAAAAAATTTTATTTTTAATTTTTTTACTTCTTCGGATATGTAATTTTAGCATTGGAGTTCACAAATATGTATTTATTTTGTTTTATTTTTATTACCATTTGTACTGCTACATTGTAAATGCATAATAATATTGAAATATGTTTTTCTCCGTTAACAAAACACACTAAAAGTAATAGCAAAAGCTTTACAGTTGTATGTGAGAATATATACAAACAAATTATTGATGTACATATTTCATAACACAAAATTCACTTATATTAGGTTTATATATGATTTTTTTTTAATTATTACTATTATATTTTTATATATAGTGTATTTATGTATTCTTCGAATATTTTTTTATTAAACTGCACATTTTAATATCGTCATACATATGTATATATAGGTATGTATATAACTCATTTGCCTTCTGCTTATAATATTTTAAAACACTAGCAAAAATTTTACAGTTACACATATTTATCATAATAATAGAATCTTAGCATAATTCAATAACTTTTTTTTTTATTTTATTATTATCTTTCTTCGATTGGCTGAGATTTAGTTCAATTTGTTTATGTTTTTCTTCGATTTTTAAATACTTTGAGAACTGCATACATGCTGTCACTTCCACTAATCTCTTATTTAATCTTTTTTTATTTAGCACATTGACACATTTTTATCTTTTAATCGTCGGAATGAATTCTTTAAACCCTTTTCAAATTTGTTTTCAAACTTTTTTTGACACCACTAAATTGACAATACCTTTCAAAATACTTCTCATATTACTAAAAGCTTTATAATGCCATTAATTTTCGCACCAACGCACACATACAATCAAACATTAAATATATTTTCACATTTAAGAATAAACATACTTTACGCCTCATCAGCTTAAACCAAATTCGAAAACAACTAAACTATTGTGTCACTCTTCCATTCAATTAGATTCACCTGTTACACAAACGCCAAAAAAATCGGCAGCCAGCAGCGGGAACAGCGCAGCCCTACCGAAAAGGCTCAAATTGCACGAACACAATGTCAGCAACAACAAATGCAACAATGCAAACAAATAAATATGAACGATTAAATGAGAATGCACAAATTGATTTGGAGCAGCCAAAAATGAGAAAACGAACGAACGAATGATTGAGTTAAACGCCGAATAGCGAGCACACAGCCAACGTATTACCGTCGAATAACTACAAAACAGCGCGTAAAACCAACTGACAGCGCGGCAGTCGGTAGATAGGTAGGCGCAAGTAAACCGAGCTCCGTTGAAAAGCGTGTTTGTTTGGGGCGACGTGCCGGATGGAGGTGATGCTGTGCACACACTGAGACCGAGAGTGAGGGGCGCGCAACAACACATAAACGCCTGCCAACTGTGAACGCGTTGAAGTTGGGGCGCAAAACTTGTTTTCACTTCTCAGCAGCAGACCTTAACTCCAGTGAGTTGGTAATCAGTAGTAGGTAAAGCACACACAAAGTTAAATACAATACATAACATAAACGAGGTATAACGGATGCTCACGATCCTCATAAAATGCACTGTTGTTTTTCTCTCTTTTTGCTTTTGCTATTCTTCTATAAATTTTCTATACAATTCGTTTAGCTACACTCGCGTTACGCGTTAGTTGACTCGTCGCAGCCAATGTTCGCTCAACACTGAATCGCGTCGAGACCGAGAGACAAGTGCAAGCCGAGTTAGTGTACACCTGAAAAGCCAGCGGAATGCATTGGCATTGGAATAATGGCAAACAAGAAATACACCCTGATATGTTCATATGTATATAAATATAAACCAAACGGGTTTTTGTAAACGTTGTTGCTGACTTCTCTGCTTTGGCTGGGTGTAAGCGCAGTAGTGGCGGGGCAGAGGATGCTGTTGTGATGGTATTTTGTTGTTGGCTGGCATGTTGTATGGCTTATTGCTTATATGGTTTGTTTGTTGGTTGATTGGTTGCAACGTTGGCTGGTGGTTGGCTTGGGTTTGATTTGTTTTGGCTTAACAGGTGTAATTGAAGATAATGCTGGTGCTAGCGTGAAAATGTTAGCAGCATTTGGCAGTAATGTTAATGTTAGAAATCAAATGTAAGGAAAATATTTTAAATTTAACAATTGTATGTTAAGTTTAAACATTGCTAAGTATTGACAGAATTTGTAACAGCGATATGTTGGGACTTAACATACAAGTGTTATGTTTAAAAAACTAAAGCTTCAATGTAGAGAATGGAAGATGTTATTTTATTTAAATATTTGTTCACATTAAGCTCTGTTTTTTTAATAACATGGTATTTTTATGATAAAAAATATATTTAAGGGATGAAATAATAGATTAATGCGGGGAAGAATGTTCTTTTATATATTTTCGGGTGAACACCTAAAAATATAACGAAACTCTAGGGTAACAATTTACAAAATATTAAATTAATTAACTATCAATTAGTATTACATTTCTCTCTTTACTTAAGTTATGGACTTTCTCTAAAAAATTTAATTATTAAAAAACATTGCCTATTCTTAGGCGCTTAGTATTGTATTTACTAACGAAATACCCCTATCAAGATAAAATAAGCAAAAAAAGCCTTTGTAACTATATCGTTATATGTAATTTTGTAATATTTTACGAGAAAAAAACTTTTTGTTTGCTGATATTTGAATTTATTTAGAATAATTGGTACATTTGGAATATTTTATTTATGTATACACCTTTAAGAGTTATAATTTGTGAGTTATACATATATTTAAATAAGTCTATACCGATATGCATAAATAGAGATCTCTAATTATGCTTGACTATAAAAAGTTTGTTTATCACTCAGTTATTTTACTGAATTTACAAATACCACTTATCCGAGCCGTCAAACTGTTACTTACATAAAATAAAATTTTATTTTTAAGTTACCAATTTCTATACGAAATTTACCCTATAAATATCACTTTTGGCTACTTAATTTTTTTAATACATATAACCTGGCAGATTGGGTCGCATGCGTTTTGCCAGCTCCGACCATTTTATCGAATTTTCACACAGTATCAGTTTTTCATTGCAGCGACGATCACAGTTGCAAAATAAGCCTGGCTTACAATCACTCGTGTCGCCAAATTTCTTACAGGCCTCACCGACATCTTTATGGCAAAGTGTGCGTGGAAGGCAAAACTGAGGATCGAAGTTCAAACTGAAGGTACCTGCGGAAAGATAATCAAAATTTAAGTAAACTGGATTAATACTAAATTAATTACAGCCTTAAAATTAAACTGTTGTTATTAATTAAGTTTATTAGTTGCGTGCAAAAATCAACTAACCATGCTCACAATGCTCTGGGTAAACATTGGGTGGTCCACAATCTACCGGTCGTTCAAAAGTTTTACTGCAATTGCAAAATATATTTATTTATTTTCGAATAAAATATAATATAATAAATTGTATTTTTTTTCAAAATTTTTACTTTTGGATACTTACATCGCCTGCGTGCTATTTTGTCTTAAAGACAATAAAAATATTAGCGCAAAGCTGAATTTGAAGACCGAAGTGATACCCTTCTTGTACGCCATATCTTCCCTTGTCAAAATTTGTCTATTATTTTCAGTCACTTTTCAACAATACTCCTACTGACTTAAGAGTTTTATCTAATTACTTTGCTGGTACGTTTCATCATGAATTTCTTTCGATGCGGCATATCCTTTTATATCTCTTTCCGATATCTTTCATACCATTTTTGTTAATATTTTTTCAATTAATTATTCAATAATATTGATGAGCTTTGAATAATTCATAAAACCTTGCATCTTGAGATACTTTCATTGTCACATCCTTGACCGCTTTAAATTGTCCAATGAAGTGTAAGCAGTGAGGGTGGGTGAGGGTAATGATAAAAAGTCATTGTGTCAGTGTAGTAATTGTATTAAAGCATTGAAACAAAGTACATATAGAAATATAAAAATGTTGAAACTAAAAAGAAATGTATTTGCAATGAATTATTTCTTTTAATGCTATCCAAGATGTTTAGTTGAGGATTTTTTTTTGCAAGAGGAGAGCAAAATGGTCACACGATAAAAATAACCAATACCAATATGAATTCCGATACTAATATCAATAATTATACCATCGATACCAATAACAATTCCAATCTCAGTACCAATATCAATGTCAATATACTAATTTCACTACCAATACCAATACCAATACCAATACCAATACCAATACCAATACCAATACCAATACCAATACCAATACCAATACCAATACCAATACCAATAATATCCATATCAATACCAATACCAATACCAATACCAATACCAATACCAATACCAATACCAATACCAATACCAATACCAATACCAATACCATTATCAATACCATTACCAATACTAGTATCAACAGTATCAATACCTGTAACAACATCAACACAAATACCAGTACCAATACCCTTACTTATAACAACATCAATACCGTTACCAGCACTAATATGTAAACCAATATCAATGCCAATGCACCAATACACTAATCCACTTTTCAGTAATTAAATCTATTCTCGCCATCTGAAGCAAAAATCTTTATTTGCATTAAAATTTAATAAGCGTCACCCACATAAATTCACTTATTTTCAAATGAACTGACCTTTAACGATTAATTTGATGCCCACAAAGGAATGCATAATTAATTACGGTTTTTCATAAATTTGAATTTAATTAAGTGGCGGGGCCTGAGTGAAAGTTGTATAAAAGGACTCATTTGCGCGAAGGATAACCATAAAACACTTGTAAGCCTACAAAGGATTCACATTTTTTAAAAATTAATAAAGAAAAAGCTTTTCTTTTATTTAGCGAAAATGACTTCTAGAGCAAACTCCTATTTGTATATGAGCTTCGTGAGTAAACTGAGTTGGCTGTTGGTGTTAACTCTAGTCCTACTTCAGCGCTCAATACAAGGAATGTAAGTATAAGTAAATTTCTACTTATGATTTTCGACTGTATTCGCTTTCTTTTATACGCTTTTTTTAAGTCCATTATTCCCGCAAACTGAAGACTGTGGCCCCAGCTTTTCGGAGGATCCCAAAAAATGTACTCACGGTAAGCGAACTTCTACTGTTTTTTGCAATCTGTTTCTAGAAATTATTCAAAACTATGTTGCTCTCTCTTCTAGGTGCCTTTGTGCTCAATTCCAACCGCACGGAATGCTCTCCACGCATTATTTGCTATAGTAATTTGGGCGAGAGCTGTCAGGTCTACGACTATGGTGCTGTCAGCAATTGCCTGCCGAATTTGGTGTGTAGTTGTGATAAATGTCGCGAAGTGCTGACAATTTGCAAGGCACCGTCGCCTTTCAATATGGCCAAACGTGCGAAACCAGCATTTGTAGAATATGGGAATTGAGTTGCTATTTGTGGAGCAAATAACGGTGAAAATATCGACTATTTGTAGATGACGAAAATATTTTGGGCTAAACTAAATGGATTACGCAGAGACTTAAGGATAATTAGTGAATATTAAATAAAGATATCATAACACATAATATATTTAGTGAAAACACATAACCACTTGTACTGAGCCGTTAAAAAACTTTTACATTATATATAAACAAATAAATAAATATATATTTAATGCTAATAAAGATGCATGCAAGATAATGTACTTTTTGTGATTCTTTCTTCTTTAAAGTTTTCCAGCATAACCTAGAAAGTTTAGGCAGACCAAATAAATAATTTTTGTCAATAGGACTTAAAGCGATGAATTTGACTTGACTACGAAGAGGCGACTAGCTTTCCGCGCAAACTATTCTTCAAGTAAAAGTATAAGAGCTTGTTAAGTGAAGAATTTGATGGTCTTCTTTGGACATATTGAAAATATAGAAAAGAAATCTCTTTGCATTAATTCGTAATCCTTATCCTTTTTTATCTTCTCTACATAATCGCCATGGATTTCAAAGCATTTTTTAAGCCTATGTTTCCACAGTCTTCAAAATCTCTGTTTTTAATCTCAACATTAACCGCATCAATGGCCTCCTCGTTACTAGTAAAGACCTCTCCATTTAACTTTTTTTTTTTCAAATTTTTGGAAAAAATCAAAAACCACAAGATGCTATATATGTGGAATACAGTGCTGAATGTATTTCTTCGATCCCAGAGATAGTAGTAAAATTACTCGTTATTTCAGCAGTGTGGGATGGCCCGTGGACATTATGCCGAGGAAAGAGGTTTCTTCCTATTTTCCAACAGTGGTATAGAAGCTACGATTTTAGATAGGATAGAGTAAACTGGCATAATAACTTTTGCTGCTGATTTTTGTTGTTTGGATTTTACGGTTGGGCTTGCTCCTGTTACGCTCCATACAATGAAGTGCTGTTTGGTTTCTGGATCCTACTTACAAAACCAAGATTCGTCATCAGTAAAGAATTTATTAAGGTTACCAGACTGACCATTATCGAATTTGTTTAGGTAATATTGAACAAAATGCACTCGAAGATCTTTTTGAGCGTCATTTAAAATTCGTGGTACCCATCGAGCAGATTTCTTCTTCGTGTATTCCAGCTCATTACTTATTACTCGCGATACAACCATGACATTCAAGCCTAATTTATTAGCAATAATTTGTTGTGTTTATTGAGAGTGTTCGTTAATTTTGGACTTCACCAGAGCTACATTAACGTAATCAGTGGAAGAGTTTGGTTGACCTTTTCGGTGTCTGTAATGTTTGGAGTCATTTAGAAATAGCCATTGAAGACGATTCAATCGTTCTATATGCAATTTGTCATTGACTGAATATTTGAGTTGGCTGCAAATTACGCCGAAACCCAAGGGGAATCACATAACGGATTTCTGTTGGCGTTGGTGATGGAATTTCGTTTGATCTATCCAATGCTATTTTGCGCTTTCTCTTCTCTATTTCAGCCGATCGTTCTAAAATTTGAAAAGAAAAGTAATAAAGATATTGCAAAGGATACAGTATTTTTAGATTTAAAAAAAAAAAACACTTTGAAAGTCACCAACTGACCGAACTTTTTTTAATCCTCTACCTCGCCGACATCACTCCGGATGATATTTGTGATTTTTTTTTGATTATAAATATTATTGATCTACTAAAAGAATCAATATGAATGCCGCGAAGTAAGTCAAACAAACCACTCAGATCTGGGCTTATTCAAACCAGCATCGGTGGAATAATCCAAATGCTTGGCGGACTTACCTACGCACGATCTAAGTTGGTATCCAAATCACTCCAAATTTTGTCAATCCGTCGGTGTTTCTTTTCCGTATATAGAGTATTATTTATAATTGGTTCCAGGCTACCACTCCATTTCCAGGAAACAAAAGTATTCCATGTAAAACGAACCATGAATATGTAAATTTTTTTCGAATAGATCCAACCATTTCCCGACTACGACTTTTTCATAAAGTGTTTCAATTTTCAATTTCTGTAAATAGGTCAGTGCCTGGCATACTTCCCGATTTTTATTATTAGATACCCTTCCAGAAACCTTAAAAACAGACTCATTCAAATTTAAGTCAATCAGTCCAAAACTTTATTCCGATTTTTGCACCAGAACTCCAGACTTTTATGTATGTATTGTAGATTTAATGAAAATGAAAAAAGATAAGGTCTTGTCTATACATTTAGATAGACAATTCCCAGTAAAATTTTCTAGAGACCTATAATGTCTCCTTTGCATAGCTGTAGGGTATAAAATAATTACCCTACCCGGTGTCCAAAGTAGCCGATTGGTTGGCATTATGTAGCAAGATTCTAATGACCAAAATTCGAGTCCTTGTTCATCCAACTTCTAAAATTGTAATCAACAAAAAAAACTAAATTTATTTTTCTAAATGCGCTCGTCCCTCTCTTCAAAAAAGTTCATCGGGCATTCCAAGGCGGCTTAGTATTAAATGCAGGTCACTCTTTTTTTCTTTTTGAAAAATTAAAACATTTAGACGCATACTACAAATTGAAGGAGAGTTTGGTTATGGTGGCTTTAGTCATCTGCATTTGGGGTTTTATAAGTGCGCTAGGATTACGCTAGATGGCATTAGAAAGTTGGTATTTTGTACTAAGAATGATAATGAGAGAAGTGTTGATCACTTAACTCAGTTGTTATTGAGCACATGTTCAAGGTGGATACCAACGAAATGTGAATAGTGTTTATGGTCTTGATACCGTAACAGTCAATCATACATAATTTGGGTTTCACCGATTACGTCCAACTAATTTTGATGTAAGATATACTTCACGATATCAAAGGTAGATTTTCGAATATATCGATAAAATAATGGAAATCGTCGAATCTGATCTTCATGAGAGCACAGCTTCGGCTGCTATTACACATAAATCAAATTTGGTACCATTTGAAAAAGACAGAATAAAAAAATAAGCTCGATATATGGGCGCCGCATGGGTTAAACAGAAAACACCTCATGATTCGATATTCCACCGACGAATGCCTACTGAGGCGTGACAAAATCGACTCATTTTTGAAGTAGATGATGACTGGTGATAAGAAGTGGATCACGTCAAACGGAAACGATCATAGTTAGTGAGCCGGCACAAACGCTCTCCAAACCAGAATTGCCTGCCATAAAGGGTTTATTGTATGATTGGTGTTATTGGCAGGGACTCATCCACTGTAAGCTGCTCCCTATTCTTCAGTCAAACCTGTACTGTTAAGAGTTTGACCGTCTTACGGAAGCAATCACACAGAAACGCCGATATTTTCTCAACAGTATGGGAGTTGTGTTCCATCAGAGCACACACATCGATTGCTACTACGTTTATGCTTCAATTCTATTTGGGTTTATTCATATTGGGTATATTGAATTCAAGCATAAATACATTTACACTACAAGTTAAGGACTCTACTCGGGCAACCGCGAGCTCCTCCTCCAATTTGTGGTTTTGCGTCTTGATTTTTTTTTACAATGAATGGAGGAACCTACAGTTTATACTAAGCTGCCGCCGAACGGCTGATGTTTTTTTTTTTTATGATATGATTTTTTATTTTTATCATGTCAGAAGTACACTCGCAGGGGTTGATATTCCCTGGTGAAGCCGGATCATTATTAGAAAATATAGCTTAATTTTTCATTTAAAATAATTTTCTATAACTTTTGGCTGATAGTCGTACCAAGATTTGAAGCCGGGCCTTACGAATGGCACTTCGCTACCACGGATATGCCTTGTAATGTGCCCTTTCAACATGCCATTAAGGTGTGAGATACATGCAACTTACATGCAACCAAATACATACCAATAGGATTTTAGGCAAACCTGCATTGCATGTCTAACAAGTCAAAATGACGGGAATTCTTTAAAAAAAAGTAAAATAGAAAAAAAAATCATTAACAATTACATGCCCTCAGCTCCCAAGGCGAATAAATATAATTCTTGTCACATTTTCTCTTTCCCTGATGAAACACATGAACTGAAATACTTATGTCACTTCTGGCTGGTTTGGTTACTTAGAAGGTAGCAAAAAGAACCCAATAAATAGTCTTTGAAATAAATAACGACACTGAGGACATGCAGTAATTGCTGATTGTTGCACGTGTTGCACACACACCGAAAAACCCAAGAACGGAATATCATTTAAATACGAGTATATGCTCAGCAACAAGCGTGCAACTGAGGCAAACGCGTTGAATGTGAAACGTTAACACACAAGCATTGGCACAAACATATACATATTTACTACTAGCATATATAATATATACATGTCTGTTACATATATACATTTGTATTTATGTGTGACAAATAAGAAAATCCAGGAAAATTTTAAAAATCAGCTGGGAAAACACCAAGAGCGTACATATGTACATATGCCCATGCAGCGAACAGCGAAGGTATGAATGAACCATTGGATGGAAGTATACTCGTATTAAGGGTGTGTGTTTAGGAAATTTTTTGTTGTTTACCTGTGTGCTGCAATGGCTACGGATATCTGGTGAATGTTATTTCAGCCGTAGTGCTGGCGTAGAAACTGCAAGTAATTGACGTGAGAATCTTCAAGGCGTAGAAGAGGAAATTCAAAATGAGTTAAAAAAATCTTTGAATCAAAAAAAAATATTTTGCTGCCACAATGTTGCAAGAAGCTGCAGTTGGAACTGTTTTCTGCTTTCGCAGCTGGTAGACTCATTCAAGCATCGACCCGCCTAGACCCATGCACTTATTCTATAGAAAGCATGATCATGCTGGGCAAAGTAATGAAACAATAATCGCACACACTGCTAATATCACGGGTACAGTAAAGTAATATTGATATTTATAGGGTTATCCAATTCGTTATTTCAAAAGTATTGGACTATATTTTGACGTTAGTTAAACTTTTGCCAATTACCAAACCTGGTTTGTTTAAGTTAAAGTATGGTATTATGAAAATGGATCGTTTCATTGTTAAAACCTACTGTAAAATTTTGATTGACTCGTGGCCATGTTTTGTGTTTTAAGAGGAGATTATGGTGCACTACTCAAGCAAATAATAAAATGAATCGGTTACAGATATTGTAAGTCCTGTGCTCCACATTTTTTTACGCCGCTATGTCTGAATTTGGTATACC